ACACACACACACACACACACACACACACACACACACACACACACACACACAAAGATGTTCATATACCTGTAATACCTGAAGGTGTAATCTCAGAGATTAACGTGTAATGACCCTCCCTCTTTCATGGTCGTCAGCTGCCGTTGCACATTCTGCCATATCCAGGCTTGTCCATGTCTTAATGTTGTCTATTAATGTTACGCTTTGTCTTCCCCTAGCTCTCAAACCCCACATTCTTTCCTCAAGCACTTCTTCCACAATGGCCTTGTATCGTTTAAGTGACCAAAGTATTATAATTTTTATTATCATTTTTTTTAAAGCAGAGTTTGTCCTGTGTGGAGAAGTGTTCGTCTTTTTTCTTCTCTTTCCAACTTATTCAGGCCATTCTGCGGTAGCACCACATCTCTAACACAGACATTTTGTTTTCACCCTTCTTTGTTAAAGTCCAGGTCTCGGGCGCTTTTAGGCATATATTATGTGGAAGATGTATTGATACACCATTTTCTCATGTAGTTATGTAATGATTGAAGAACTAAAGAAATAAATGTAAGGAAGGGGGGGGGGGATGGTTCCTCAGCCCTACTTGCAATGAATGGCACATTATTACAAGTACAAACATACAAACTTACAAACAGAAACACACACACACACACACACACACACACACACACACACACACACACACACACAAACTTGCATCCACGTATGCTCATTATATACTCTTACACAGGCCCACACTCTTTTATACTTACTAATACACACAAACACACCTCCCTCCCCCAACCCCTTACACACACACTTACATCCACATAATATGAACATATTTTGTTCATTATGTACTCTTATAAAGGCGCACACACTTTTATACTCATTAATACACACACACACACACACACACACACACATACACACATAATAATAGACTCAGAGGCCCCTCCCTCCTCCCTCCCACAAACACACATTGCACACATAGACACACCTACGAGACCTTTCCTCCCGGAGCCATACACACACAATCAACACATGGTCTCATACAGCCTCAGACATTTATTATTATTCTCTCTCTCTCTCTCTCTCTCTCTCTCTCTCTCTCTCTCTCTCTC